CCAATGAAATCTGAATATTTAGTGCCGAATTGCACTGAATTTTCAGTGAAAACTGACATTTCATGATTTTCTTTCCCCTTGAATCGCATTCCATGTGACTGTCTTGAAAAGTCAAGAATATATTCAGCGAAATTTTCTAAGTTTCTATGAATTTTCAAGGGAATATAAGGCTGAAATTTCTGGTTCTCATTGATTTTTACACAAAATTTCGAATTTCCAAGGTCGAAATTTCTTGGAATTTCAATAAAATTTAAATGCGATAAAAATTTCCGAAAATTGTACTAGAAATTTCAGACAAAAATTGTTAACATTCTATGATCCTCGCGACGTTTGACTCACGAAGTATGGCACTGGGGACATGTGACTCTCGCGATGCATAATTCTTAGCAAATATGATGCTTACGACTTTTTACCCTCAAAAAGTATAACCATGGCGAAATTTGACCTTTGTGAGATAAAACGGGAGAGACTCTTAATTGTTTCATTCGATTTATAATCAATCGGCCCTCGTGATTGAAATTTCATGAACAGTCGACTAGTAATTTCTAGAAGAGTGGTATTGAATGCGATTCAGAGGGAAAACGTATAATTAAATTTTAGATTTCACTGAAAATTCAAAATTTGTAAATAGCATTAAGACAAGAATTCCTCAATTTATTTGAATGTCCATGGAAAAATGAATGTTTAGGGTCAAATTACGATAAATTCCCAATGAATTGATAATTGAAGCTTATATTTACTGATATTTTCCTGATTTATATTAAGTTGGAGGGACTAATTAATCTTACATTTGCAGTTCTCATTGATTTTCCCATGAGATTTTGTATTTTCAGTGACCAAATCCCTTGAAATTCTAAGGAAAGTAAAATATGATGCAAATTCCTTGACACCATAACGCAAATTTTAGCCAAGAATTTTTAATTTTCAATTGAATAAAAAAGTTATGATGACCTCTAAAAACTTTTTTTTTTAGTTTTAAGAAGAAATATCTGCATGACGCAAAGAATTTTCCCCTTCCGTCAAAACTAGAATATTGCTCATAACGACAGTTAGCTTCCCTTGGATAAAAGTTCCTTTCTTCGTTTCGAAAGCTTATTTTTTTACTTATGTGATCTATTAAACGACGTTACAAGGAAAAAACACTGGACTCATTTATCTCATTGAAACATAAAGCAAAACAGAGAGGTCCCATTTTGCCCGGCGTCTCATTTTGCCCCGCTGGCAATTTTGCCCCGGGCTCTCATTTTGTCCCGGCCTGCCCTACTCTTTTATAACATTTTTTCCTAACTTCAACGGTTAACAAATTAATTTGATGCAAATGAGGAAAACCAGCCCCAATTGCCATCCAACGTGATATGGAATCCAAGTCATCTTGGTCAATTTTTCAATTTGTCAAATTTTGAAGGAATGCATCTTCTAGACCGTTTTGTGATGAATAATTTTCATTATTAACTTTTTTCTCTTATCCGATTATGTACGACAATATTTGAACGAAAAGACGGCGAGTACTGCCGACAACGTCACTAACAACATCACCCGCAATGTCCGATATATACCGCTTTTAGATACATTGAATTTAATCATTGACTTTATGCTTTTTTGGGTCTCTGAATACGAATTTGTTAACCATTTTTGCGAGGTGTGGTTATTTTTGTTTACTTATAATAATGTAATTGTTTATAACGCGATTTCGCGGAGGCCGTCCGAGTTACCAAAAAAAGTTTTAAACAAAGTGGTCAAAAATACATGTATTTTGTCTTATCATTTTTCATTCCTATCTCTTATAGTCTATAAGAGTATAGGATATAAGAGATAGGAATAAAAATAATAAGTCAAAATACATGTATTTTCAAACGAGGAACATTTTTTGATTAAAATTTTTTTGTCTAACCAGGACGGCCTCCGTGAAGTCGCGTTATAAACAATTGAATTATTATAATTATTATAATTGAATCATTATTATACATAAACAATACTAACAACGCCTCGCACAGCTGGTTTACATATTCGTTTTCAGGGACCCAAAAAGTATGAAGTCCAATGATCAATTTCAATGGACCTAAAAGTGTTATATATTGTACATTGCGGGTGATGTTGTTAGCGACGTTTTAGACAGTCCTCGTCGTCTTTTCGTTCAAATATTGTCGTAAATAATCAGAGAAGAGAAAAAAGTTAATAATTAAAATTATTCTTCAGAAAACGGTCTAGAAGATGCGTCCCTTCAAAATTTGACAAATCGAAAAATTGACCGAGATAACTTGGATTTCATATCACGTTGGATGGCAATTGGGGATGTTTTTCCTCATTTCCATCAAATTATTTCGTTAACCGTTAAAGTTAGGAAAAAATGTTAAAAAGAATAATTATGTATTGTTTAATAGGGAACGTTTTTTATTTCAACTATTTTCATTTATTCCCAACCGTTTCAATCGTAACCTGAGCGAAATGTGCGAAGGATTACGGGCGCGCCCTTCCGCCCTCCGCGACATGGTTTCAGAGGTGAAAACTCGATAACTATGAGAGATAGGAATAAAAATAAATAAACAAAATGTATGTATTTTTAGACGAGGAACATTTTTTCTTTGAAATTTTTTCGCTTAACTCCAACCATTTCTGCGAAATTGCGTTATGAACAATTAAATTGTTATAAATCAACAAAACTGACCACACCGCGTAAAAATGGTTCACACATTCGTGTTCAGGGACCCCAAAAACATACAGTCCAATGATAAAATTCAATGGACCTAAAAAGATATACGGGACCTGTCGCAGTATATGGACTAGAAATCCACATTACCCCTATCTGACCTCTATATGAACTTCACATAAGCGCCGTATGTCCACCATATCGCCCTGATGTGATACCCATATAATCTCCATACGAACTCCCTATGGCCTCCATATCAGCCTCATTGTGACCGTTCCTAAACCTTACTCTGACCCTTTCTCAGGGGCGGCGGAACCATAGTGGATGGTATGGAATACTCCACACCTAAAAATTTTCGAGGTATGGAATTCCATACCTCAAAAATATGGGAAGAAATTTTTTTTTATCAATTTCATATTTTTGTCAGTGACCGACTGAGTACTTATGGGGGTCTTGGGTTGGTTAACGGGGGGCGCGAGTGTCATCTGAATGCGGCTCGAAAGAGTGGGGTATTCGGGTGTGTTGGTGCTTGCTCATGCTGTGTACATACAATAAACCGTCGCACATGGGGCCTGTCTCGCCTAAGTTCTCGGGCGTGTATTAGTGACTACCTGATTATTCAACCCTTGACTAACATCTGCTAGCTATGGACATAGAGAAATTTTTGGTCCCATTGAATAAGCCAGTCGAGGTGAAACCTCAGAAACGGAAACTACCATTTTCAGATAACGTAACCTCTGAAAAACCCACCCTCAACGACAAGCATTAACCAAGAAAAAAAAAACAATAATAATAACAAATCTGACTGTGATTGCGAAAACACTCCTGTTCAAGATTCATCGACATCAAGTACGATTTCTTTGATACTGAAAAATTGAATTGTTCCCTATATTGATATGGGATTTTACATTTTTTGTCCCTCTTTGCGTGGAAAGTTCGACTTTTTTCCCGCTTCAGAGTTTTAGTTTATTCCCTTGAAATGGTTGAATCATTTTGCTAATTGTTTCTCACGCGAAACAAACTGAGATTTCTCCGAGATCTGCCGTTGAGTTTTCAGTGTAAATTTAAACAATTTTGAAAATTTCTATACATATTAGGTGTTTAAAAGAAATTTTGACAATTTGAAAAATTTCGGAGCATAACATTTGACAAGATCATTAAAAATTTAAAGATTTTTCAGTTCACAAAATTTTTGAAAATATCTGTTATTATTTCTACTATTTCAACAATTTCGAGAAATTTGAAAATTATACCAAATCTTGAAAATTTTAAATTTTAGAAATCATGAGAATTTTTAAAATATTGGAAATTTTCGAAAATTATGAAAAGTGTATCAATATTTGAGCAATAATGTGATAATTTTGAAAAATTCTAAAATTTTTGAAAACAACGATTTCAAGAACTTTTGAAACTTTGATTTTTTTTTCAATGTTCTGAAAATTTTTTGCAAAAATCATACGCGTGTCAGAATGGTCTCCTTTCCTCCTTTGGTGTGCAATACTAGCTATTAATAGTGCGTAATACTATTGGTATAGATTGCTTGTTTTTTTCCAGTCCAAGTATTGCCTGTAGAGATAAAGACATGGAAGAGTTGGCAGAAGAAGCATCCTTGGGTCTCTCTCAATTCATCTAACAAAGTAGTGTGCTCAATCTGTACAGAGGCTGTACAGAAAAGTTTGGTCTTACAAAGTTCTTTGAAGACGAGAAGCGGAGAGATTTCACGGGAGGCATTCGTCACCTCTGGATTTGATTGTTGGAAGAACGCCACACAACGATACCGTGTCAATGAGTCCAGTTTTTTACATATCGAGGCTTTAGGTACTATAACTAATTTGAGCAAGCCAGGGATCGTCGAACGCATTGACTCTGTAAAACAGAAAGAGATGGCTGACTTGCGTACCGCACTGAGAAAAATTTTTAGTATCATTCTCGGACTAGCTCGAGAAGGTCTTGCTTTTCGTGGTCATAATAATGACGAAGAATCTAACCTCCAACAATTTTTATTGATGCGAGCTGAGGATGTTATCGAATTGAAGAGATGATTAGATCAAGATCAACGTAAATATTTGAGTCATGATATTATTAATGAAATTCTACATCTCATGGCCAATGAAGTTTTGAGAAAAAATTTGGAGATGATAAAGAATGCTCAGTATTATGCGATTATAATCGATGAAACATCGGATATATCTAGATTGGAGCAAGTTTCAGTTTGTTTAAAGATGGTACATCCAGACTTGACCGTTGAAGAGATTTTCACTGGGTTTTATTCGACCGACGACACAAAGTCGGAAACTTGATTTAATCTTGTCAAAGATGCATTGGTGCGATACGATCTCCGATTTTCTGACATGCGGGGCCAGTGTTACGACGGGGCTGCAAATGTCAGCGGTCGAATCACCGGTCTCCGATCACGCATTCAAGCACTCGAATCACGAGCTCTGCATGTCCACTGTACTGCACATACTTTAAATTTGGCCGTACAAGATGGAATGGAACGAATACTCTGCGTGAGGAACTTTCTCGGAACCATCAAAGATCTCATTAACTTCGTTCGAGATTCTCCGAAGCGGTTGGCTGTTTTTACAAAACTACAGTCATCTGATACGCCTAATTTGTCAGCATTTTGTCCAACAAGGTAACATTGCCATCAATTTTGCGATCGGATTCAACATGTTTTTCGGGAAAGTCAATCATTGCATTATTTGTTGAAAGTAGTTCATCGGCCTATCAAAAAAATTAATTTATTCAAATATTGATTTTTTTATATACTTGTGTTTCATCTGTGATGAACAAATGATTATTTTTCATCATTTCCCGAATTTTTTCAACTTTTTTCATTGTCATTAAAAAACTTACCTTTTTTCTCCAAATGATAGGAAAAGATCCGATCCCTACCAAAATTTCTTGACGTATTTTTTGAATAAACAAAAATATGGAATACAGTAATGGCTTCGGTAAATGCGCGTCTTAAGGGAAGATCGTTGGTTTGAAAAATTCCGGAATCTTTGAATGACGTCTTAAATATCTAAACTTCATCGAATATACAGAACTACAAAAAATTGAAAATACTGGACCATTTTTCACGTCCACTGACCCCTATATTGAACAAGTAGCTCCTCGAACAATGTTTAGTTCCTATTCCCAATGATTTGTTCCTCTTTTATAGGTGGTGCGTACGGGTGAAATCGCTCAGGGGAGTTCGTGAGAATTACGCGGTAATCATGGAGTTCCTTGATGGTTTGAGTACCGATCCCACTACTGACAAAAGTGTATCTGCTAAAGTCAATGGATTCTTACGACTAATGGAAACCTTTGAGTTTTTCTTTCTTCTGATGTTATTAATCGAGATATTCGAGCCGATTGAAATCCTCAATACTGAACTACAGCGTTCTGATCTTTGTTTTAATGAGTCTCATCAGAAAGTGGATACTGTCAAAGAAATTTTTGATGCCTCCCGCGAGTCTAAGTTTTCATTGATTTGGGACAAATCGATTAACGGCATTAATTCACTAGACATTGAAGGGCCAAAGATTCCACGACTTCGACAAATCCCCAAACGTTTAGACAGTGGCCGTGAGGGACACATTTTTAGTACTCCCGAAGCGTACTATAAGAAGATTTATTATGAAGTCTTCGATCAAGTATCGATCTCATTGAATACTAGATTTGTATCCGAAACGATGCATTTCTTGGATCAATGTGAAGGGTTTATACTTGGCAAGATTAACGTCAACGTAGATGACATTGTACAGGTGTACAATGCGAAAATGCCTGAACAGGAATTCACTCCTGATTTCGATGCAGATGTACTGCAGCTACATCGTGATAGTTTCATCGATATTATTCGTCGGCAGTAAGTGAAAATTGAGTCCTTTATAGAGGTAGTCGAATTCATGAAGAAGAATAAGGCAGTTGCAGATATCCTTCCAGAACTGACGAAATTGATCAAAATTCTTCTGACTGTACCTGCATCGACATGTACCAACGAACGTTCTTTTTCAATGCTGAGACGATTAAAAACCTACTTACGTTCCACAATGCTTCAATCTAGATTGAATCATGTTGCGATATTACATGCTTATCGGGATGTAGCTTCAGCGTTAGATCTCGATAAATTGATGGATGAATTCATCTCGCGAACCGAGAGAAGAAGATGTAAATTCGCAATGTCACGTTGACAGTTTGATGTATCAAAAAATGAATAAAATAAGTAGCACAAATTACGTTTTCAAATAATTGGAGCAACCGGGTCATTGAAAACATCTAGTCCTCGCGGCCAGCTCGTCCGTGGTAAAAAAAAAAAAGGTCAACGCCGTTCGTGATCCTGGGGATGCCTGAAAAAGGTACTCCACACCTCAGATTTTTTCGTTTCGCCGCCCCTGGCCTTTCTGACACTCCGATCTATCCAGATCCTTGTTTTGACTCTTTTTCACCATTTCTGACCCTTATTCGGACTTCATTTTGACCCTTCTAGTGAGGTTTATAAAACCATAGGTTGCGAGGGGTAAAACCAAGGTTCACAAGTGTCGAATCTAAAGATGATGGTCACGAGGGTCGAAAATAAGGAATATACTGGTCACGGCTATGGTTTATGAGAGTTGAAATTCAGGATTATGAGGGTGAAAAGTGTAGGTCAGAAATAAAGTCCAGAAATGCAGGTCAGAAGTGAGTATTATATTCAAAACTATTCGGAAGCCTATTGCTAATTTATCAGCAAAACAGGCGCAACAGTTGATAACATAGAAAGTAAATATTGACTGACTTTTTTTCCTACCCTCTCACCACACATTTATGCATTTCTGAGTAAATTGAGAAAAATAAACAATAATAAGATAATGTCCAAGGTTTGAAACTACGTCGCGCGAATGGGAGCATTCTAGAAAGGGCTTCGTCCCATGTGATATATGGACATTTAACACACATGCATAGATTCATCTATCCATACGTCCCTTGAATCAGTTAATTACGTCGTGTANCTTTTTTTCCTACCCTCTCACCACACATTTATGCATTTCTGAGTAAATTGAGAAAAATAAACAATAATAAGATAATGTCCAAGGTTTGAAACTACGTCGCGCGAATGGGAGCATTCTAGAAAGGGCTTCGTCCCATGTGATATATGGACATTTAACACACATGCATAGATTCATCTATCCATACGTCCCTTGAATCAGTTAATTACGTCGTGTAAACGGAAGAATGGTCCAGCTGTAAAAACACTGTAAAAACTCCGGTCTTACGAGCGGTCTGAAACTAAGACTTAAGACAGGAAGTCCGATAAACGGTCTTCAAATGAGACCAATTTCCGATCTTAACACAAGATCGGAACTTAGGCGCGCTAAGAGCGATTCCCTCACAAAAATTTTCACTCCACACGGAGAGAAATGTTCAGTAAAAATTATGGAACTCACAATTCACTCACCGATTACGGAATCGACTCAGAAAATTTAAGTGACGGTATCGTAATTTTTCACAACACATTCAGAGAAAAATTACGGAACACTCCGGAAAATGTCCGTAACAGTTCCGTAAAATTTCCTACAACAACATTTCGCTCCGGAACTACGAAAAAGATACGTAATTTGTGCATAAGAAATATATACTAAATGTGAAAATATTTGCCTACATTTTTTTTATATGCCACAAGTAACTCTTCTAGTTCACTCTTGTGGTGCTAAAAGTTGTCTATCGATTAGAGTTGAGTAGAAAAGAAGAATTTTCTTCTGCTCGGCCAAAATTTTCCACATGTTACGGATATGGGACTCGGGACGCTGAACCATGGATAGCGTCGCCTGTGGCTATATTTCCCCCTATTCTTACGAGAAGCTGATGAGCGATTCCCTCATTGGGCGCTTCAAGAATGCTCGGGGAACGTTAAGATCGTTTATGAGTCCCGTTCCGATCTTATATTTTGAGATCGCAATTTTAAGATTGAAAACGGGTCTGATTTAAAAATCTCTAGGTAGGTTTAGTTCGGTAAGATGAAAGATCGGTTGACAATGTAAAATTGATGCAGCGATTAAGATCGAAAATGTAAGACCATTTTAGAGTCTTACCTGAAACTATACTAGTGAATCGATAAATTGAGCCATTCATTAAATTGTCGATAGATAAATTTTCTTAAGAATTAAATTAATTAATTAAATAAATCAATTAAATCAATCAATTAAATTAATTAATTGAATAAATCAATAAATAATTAATTTTTCCACTTGTGATCCTTACATTTTTACCCCTAGGTTGTAATACAATCGAACGGGCGCTTCGCGCCCATCGCTAGATTAATGTATGCTATTTCATTTTATTGTATTTTCTTTCTGATTCTGTCTTCATGATTAGATTAATTTAAATTGATTCGTTCTGTTCTTATTATATGTATGTGTATATTTTCCTTAATTCACAAGTTCCAGCTTTGAATGAAGAGGAATTGAGGGTAAAAATCTAGGACTCAAAAGGTATGGGTAAAAATATAAGGATCAGAAGGATCAACATCTAAGGGTCAGATTGTATGAGTTCGAATATGAGGATCAGAAAGTGTTAGAGTTGAACCCTCCTCCTCTCTCGCGGCCCTGATACATTTTTTTAATTCAATCAACGCATGCTGACGGAGGGATGGGGGGTGGCTCAAATATATTCTGAAACCCCCTCCCCTCTTTGGGTGAAATTTGCAACCCTCCACCATCATACTTTCCCCTTCCACCCCCTCGTGCAATTTCAATCAACAAGATTTTTATTTTTTATTCAACAATTTTTGAATTTGTTTAAAAAGCGGATGGGAACGAAGGGATGGGGGTGGCTCAGAAAGGTTCTGAAACCCTCTCCCCTTGTGGGGTAAAGTTTGCAACCCTCCACCGTCGCACCCCTCCCTTCCACCCCCTCCCAAAGTCTCAATTGCCGCAATTTTCATTGTTTATTGTTTTTAAATAATTTTTTAAATCAACGCATGGCAGTAGCTCAGTCAGATTCGGGAACCGCCTCTCCTTGTTCGGTAAAATTACCAACATTCCTTCGTCGTACCTCCCCCTTCCGCCCCCTCGTGAAATTTTAATTGACGAAATGTTCATTCTTTATTCAAGAACGTTTTTAATTATGCAATTAATTCATGCGAACGGAGGGATGGGGGGTGGTTCAGATAGATTCCGGAATCCTCTCCTTCTGTTGGGTAAAATTTGCAACCCTGTGCCATCATACCTCTCTCCCTTCCAGCTTCTCGTGAAATTTCAATTGACAAAGATTTTTATTTTTTGTTGAAAAATTTTGTATTTTATTTAAATAACGCATGCGAACAGAGGGATGGGGGGTGGCTCAGATGAATTCGGGAACCTCCTCTCCGTGTTGGGTGAAATTTGCGACCCTCCGCCGTCGTATCTCCCCCTTCCACCCCATCGTGAAATCTTAATTAATGAAATTTCAATTTTTTATTCAAGAAGTTTTTAATTTATTTAGTTGACACATGCGAACGGAGCGATGGGGGGTGACTCAGATAGATTCTGGAACCCCCTCCTTGTGTTGGGTAAAATTTGCAATCCTGCGCCATCATACCTCCCACTTCCACCTTCTCGTGAAATTTCAATTAACAAAGATTTATATTTTTCATTTGAAAATTTTTTAATTTATTTAAATCACGCATGCGAACAGAGGGATGGTGGTGGCTCAGTCAATTCCAGGAACCCCCTCCCCCTCGCAAATTCTCAATTTTCGAGATTTTCATTTTTCATTTAACAATTTTTTTAGGGGAGGGATGGGGGTGGCTCAGCTAGATTCTGAAACCCTGTTTGAGTAAATTTTGCAACCCTCCGTCATCATACATCCTCCTGGACCCCCTCGTAAATTATCAATTTTCGCGATTTTCATTATTTATTTAACACTTTTTATCATTTCATCAACGCATGGGGGTGGCTCAGTCAGATTCGGCAACCCCCTCCCCTTATTGGGTAAAATTTGCGACCCTCCGCCGTCGTATCGCCCCTTTCCACCCCCTCGTGAAATCTTCGTTAACGAAATTTCAATCTTTTATTCCAGAATTTTTTAATTCATTTAATTAACACATGCGAATGGAGGCATGAGGGGGGGTTCAGATAGATTCTGGAACCCCCTCCACGTGGTGGGTAAAATTTGCAACCCTCGGCCGTTGTGCCTCCCCCTTCCTCCTCCTCGCAAAGTCTCAATTTTCGAGATTTCCCCCTCGTAAATTATCAATTTTCGCGATTTTCATGATTTATTCAACATTTAATCAACGCTTGAGGGTGGCTCAGTCCGATTCGACATCCCCCTCCCCTTGTTGGGTGAAATTTACGACCCTCCGCCGTCGTATGTCCCCCTTCCGCCCCTCGTGAAATCTCAATTAAAGAAATTTTAATTTTTCATTCAAGAATTTTACAATTTACTTAATAAACACATGCAAACGGAGGGATGAGGCGTGGCTCAGATGGATTCTGGAACCCCCTCCTCTTGTTGGGTAAAATTTGCAACCATGCGCCATCATACCTCCCCCTTCCACTTTCCCGTGAAATTTCAATTAACAAAGATTTATATTTTTTATTTAAAAAATTTTTAATTAGTTCAAATGACAAATGTGGACAGAGGGATGGTGGTGGCTCAGTCAGTTTCTGGAACCCCCTCCCCTAGTTGGCTAAAATTTACAACCCGCCGCCGTTGTACCTCCCCCTTCCCCCCTCGCAGTCTCAATTTTCCAGATTTTCATTTTTTATTCAACAATTTTTTTATTCAATCAACACATGCTAACGGAGGAATGGGGGTAGCTCAGCTAGATTCTGAAACCCCCTCCCCTTTTTGAGTAAATTTTGCAAACTTCCGCCATCATACCTCCCCCTGTACTCCGACGTGAATTATCAATTTTCGCGATTTTCATTATTTATTTAACATTTTTTATTATTTCATCGACGCATGGGGGTGGCTTAGTCGGTCTCGGCAATCCCTTTCCCTTATTGGGTAAAATTTGCGACCCTCCGCCATCGTATCTCCCCCTTCCACCCTCTCGCGAAATCTTAATTAACAAAATTTTCTAATTTATTTAATTAACGCATGCGAACGGAGGGATGGAGGGTGGTTCAGATAGATTTTGAAATCCCCTCCCCTTGGCTAGGATTTGCAACTCTGTGTTTATCATGTCCACCCCCCCCC